GGGACTCCCAGTTTTTTCTTAGAGAATATCATCTTGGATAGCCTTGTGTATTTTCTTGTGCTACAGTTTGGCTAATATTATCCGCCAAGCAGAGTGGCAGCACATTTGACAAGATTGCAAGAGGCTTCTGCGACTTTCCTGGCTATCTTAGACATTTGTAGGCAGCATCTTGGTCTTTGTTGCACATGTGTATTTCCCATTATGCCATCACTCAGCAATTAAGACGAAGCTTGCCCTTCAGTTGTTGTTCAGATAGGCTCTGATCCCACAATCTGTTTTCATGGCTTATGAGCCACCGAGACTGGAATGCACTTGCGCAGTCACTCTAAGAAGGAAAAAGGGTTACTTACCAGTTCCATAACTGTTGTTGTTCAAGATGTGTTACATATGTCCATTCTATGACCTGTCCTTCTACTCCTCTCCATCGGAGATTTTCTGGCAAGAAGGAACTGAGAAGGATCAGGGCGGTTCTGCCCTTTATACCTACATGCAGTGGCACGCAGCAGCAGAGGGCCCTTGAACTACCCTGATCATAGAATATCAGGGTTGGAAGGGACCTCAGCAGGTCATCTAGTCCAACACCCTGCTCAAAGCAGGACCCATCCCCAGACAGATTTTTGCCCCAGATCCCTAAATGGCCCCCTCAGGGATTAAACTCACAACCCCGGGTTTAGCAGCCAATGCTCAAACCACTGAGCTGATGTACCACTGAGGGAAAAATTTCCGACAGCTGTGCTTGGGTCATGCACACATCAAGAATGGAATGGACATGCGCAACACATCTTGAAGAAAAACAATTGTGGAATAAGTTAGTAACTCTTTTCTTGTAGTTAGAGCCAAAACCAAACTTTCCCTTTTACATTAAGATTTCTATTGTTAATGCTGAATTTGATGCAGCTGCTGCAGTTCACAGTCAAGCTAAACATAGAGCAGCAGATCATAGCTATATTATTGACAGGATGCGCCAGACATTCAGCTGGTGCAAAAGATTTGGATTGTCTTTAGATGCAAAAGGTTACTGTGCAAAGGATCACTGTGTATTGATTTATGGAACGCATTCTATACGTTGCTTCATAGTCTAATCACAATACTTACTATTGTTGTGATACCAGGAGAGAAGTTGTTCTATAGGCACAACACTTAAGATTTGTATAGTTCAGTTTGTGTTTTCCTATAATCTAGGGCTGTCGAGCGATTAAAAAAATTAATTGCAGGTAATCACACTGTTAAACAATAATAGAATACCATTTATTTAAATATTTTTGGATGTTTTTTACATTTTCTTATATATTGATTTCAATTACAACACAGAATACAAAGTGTACAGTGCTCACTTTATATTTATTTTTGATTACAAGTATTTGCACTGTAAAAAACAAAAGAAATAGTATTTTTCAATTCACCTAATATAAGTACTGTAGTGTAATCTCTTTATCATGAAAGTTGAACTTACAAATGTAGAATTATGTTGTGGTGACGTGTCTGCCCCACCCCCATGCTAGAAGGGGCTGCAGCAGGCCAGTGCGCCTGTGCAGCCCGGCAGCCAATAAGAGAAGGGCTTATTGGGAGCCAATCAGGGCCAGGCTCAGCCCTATAAAAAGGCTGCTCTGAGAGAAGAGAGTGAGTCTGTCCCAGACCTTCAGGGAGGAAGGTCTGTCTCCTGAGCAGGAGACCAGCACCCA